AGGCTGGAGGGCAGCAGCATGCTCCCAGCCACCACAGCCTCAACCGGCTGGGCTCAGGTGACCCTTCTGCTTCATCCTTCCAAGTAGCTGGAACTACAGGCACGTGCTACCATGCCCGGCCCATCCATTCATTTTTTAAAAAAGAAAATTATTATACTGTCTCCCTCGCTCACTAATGATTAAGAATGGCCTTCTTGGCCGGGCACGGTGGCTCAGCCTGTGATCTCAGCACTTTGGGAGGCCGAGGCGAGAGGACTGCCTGAGCATGGGGGTTTGAGACCAGCCTGGACAACTTGGTGAGACCTCATAGCTACAATAAATCACAAAAACTAGTCAGGCATGGTGGCATGCATCTGTAGTTCCAGCCACTTGGAAGGCTGAGGTAGAAGGATCACCTGAGCCCAGCAGGTAAAGGCTGTGGTGGCCATTAGTATGCCACTGCACTCCAGCCTGGGCAACAAGAGTGAGACTCCAACTCAAAAAAAAAAGAATGGCCTTTTTGGGTTCAGGCAAGAATCACCAATGCAAACTAAATGCAGAAGGCAAGTTTTGATGAGAACCATGATCTTAAAACGTCTCCTCAGCCAGGCTCGGTGGCTCAGCCTGTAATCCCGTGCCTTTGGGAGGCTGAGGTGAGTGAATTGCCTGAGCCTGTGGGTTCGAGACCCGCCTGGGCAACTTGGAGAGACCTCATCTCTACAATAAATCAAAAAATTAGCCGGGTGTGGTAGCGCGCACCTGTATTTTCAGTTACTTGGAAGGCTGAGATGGAAGGATCGCCGGAGCCCAGCAGGTGGAGGCTGCGGTGGCCGGGAGCGGCCACTGCACTCCAGTCTGGGCAACAGAGTGAGACTCCAACTCAAAAAATAAACAAATAAACAAAAAAATAAATAAATAAAAATAAAAAATAAAATGTCTCCTCAGACTGTTTATTAGTAGCAAGGGAAAGAACACTAACATCTTAACTGGGTGACCAAAATTAGCATTACCATAGACAGACAGATGTACATTTCACACTTTCTTATGATTTCATGAAGATGATACACAACACTTGGTAATAGGGGGCTAGGAATCCACAGCTTTAATATAATCATGATGAAAAAGAAAATAAACCTCAAGTGAGAACTATTCTATTTTTTAAAAAGAACATTAAGGTTTTAAAAATGTCAATGTCATAAAAGACAAAGAGAGGCTGTGGAAATGTTTCATATTAAAGGGGGGCTAAAGAGACATGAAAACTAAAGGCAGAACATGATCCTAGATTGGATTCTATAGAGAAGGCCAAAAAAAAAATTCGCCATAAAGAACATTATTAGGTCATTTGACAAAACTGGAAACCAGATGGTAGAGCAAATAAAATTATGTATATTAAAATTACTCGTTCATAACTGTACTATGGTTGTGTAAGAGAATAATCCTTATTCTTATGAAGTAAACACTCAAATTTCTAGAGATAAAGGCCATGGTATAGTCAAATTACTCTGAAATGATCCATTTTTTAAAATGTATGTGTATACTTATGTGGACAGAATATAAAGCAAATGAGACAAAAATATTAACAAAAGGGTCTATGGGTATTATTTGTACTATTCTTTTTTGTATGTAAAACTATTTCCAAATAAAAAGCATTTTTTAATTTTAATTTTTTTTTTTTTTTTTAGAGACGGGTCTTGGTATGTTGCCCAGGCTGGTCATGAACTCCTGGCCTCAAGCAATCCTCCTGTCTTGGCTTCCCACAACACTGGAATTACACACACACCATACAACTGTGCAGTCAAAAAAGCTTTAAAAATAAAAATGAAAAAATCCTGGAGCTGGGTGGGTTTCAATGTTTAGTGTCGGGAACCTAGTGGCATACAGTACAGTAATACAGCAGCAAGAGTAACCTTTCCAAACAGTGCCAAGAGGTGGCATGTTCCTTTCTGCTCAGAACCCTCCATTGGCTGCCTACCTCACTCAGCCTAAGTGACCCTACCTTTCTGACCCAGGTACCCCTAACCTGATCTCTTCCATGCTCCCTTCCCTGCAGCACCACTGGCCACCTTCTGTTCTTTGAACTTACAGGCACACTTGCCCCTCAGAGCCTTTGCACTCGCTGTTCCTTTTGCCTAGAATACTCCTTGCCCGCATATCTGTGCAGCTCACCTCCTTCAACTCTGCTCCAGTGTCACTTCTTAGCAAGGTTTTTCCTAACCACCCTACATAAAATAAGACCCCTGTGGTATCCAGCCTTCCCTATCCCCCTTATCTTGCTTTATTTTGCCCACAGCACTTGTCTCCATCTGATATATCACACAGTTACTTATTTGTTCCTTGAGTGCAGGAACTTTGTCTATTTTATTCAGTGCTATGTCTCTAGGACCTAAAACAGTATCCAGACTATTTTACACAATCAATACATGTTGAGTAAGTGAATAAAAAAAAAACCATGTAGGCAAAGAAGTAGCAAGATGCTCCTACAAAGTGATAGAGAATTCAGGTGGAACTCTGAGGACTGATTTAATAAAAATAGAATTTTTTTTTTTTTTGAGTTGGAGTCTCACTCTGTCGCCCTGACTGGAGTGCAGTGGCCGCTTCCAGCTACCGCAGCCTCAACCTACTGGGCTCTGGTGATCCTTCCTCCTCAGCCTTCCAAGTAGCTGGAACTACAGGCATGCACTACCACACCCGGCTAATTTTTTGATTTATTGTAGAGATGAGGTCTCACCAAGTTGCCCAGGCGGGTCTCGAACCCGCGGGCTCAGGCAATCCACTCACCTCAGCCTCCCAAGGCACAGGATTACAGGCTGAGCCACCGAGCATGGCTAAAATAGAATATTAATCACTTAAAAAGCATAATAAAAGACCACAGTGGGGACTATTCACAGCTAAATCGTGACTGACAAAATATGCTGCTGTAGAGTTTATAGGTGAAAAAGAGTGAAGTAAAAAACCATGACCCATGACTTCTAGGAATACACCAGAGGAAAAAATTGTCAGTCTATCAGACTTTGCAGATTCATGATCATGAATCTCAGCTGTGCCTCAGTGCTTCACTCATATCCTTTTCCTTCATTCCTTGTTCACTTCCTACCTTATTCTTTAGAGCTGAGCCAAAATTTGCCACTCTATTCACGACTCCAAACCCTCTCCTGCTCCCTCACTCCCAACATCTCACTTCTCTACTTAAAGTACTAAGGAGACCAAGGTCATTCTACTTAAACTCTTTCACTTCTAGCCCCTATTTCAATTTATTTTCTATCTACACACATCTTTTCCATTCTAAAAAAAAGAACGATCTCTCTTTCCTTTGTAATTCTTATACAAAAGTGAGTTAGTACGATCTAAGGTCTGAGTTTACTATAATTGCTTCCATTCCCCATTCACATTAAAGTTAAAACCTCAATGTAAAAAGTGCTTTGAAAAACTGCTATGAGCCAGGTCGGTGGCTCAGCCTGTAATCCCGCGCCTTTGGGATCTGAGGTGAGTGGATTGCCTGAGCCCGCGGGTTCAAGATCCGCCTGGGCAGTGAGACCTCAACTCTACAATAAATCAAAAAATCAGCCGGGCGTGGTAGCGCATGCCTGTAATTCCAGCTACTTGGAAGGCTGAGGTGGAAGGATCGCCGGAGCCCAGCAGGTCGAGGCTGCGGTGGCCGGGAGTGGCCACTGCACTCCAGTCTGGGCGACAGAGTGAGACTCCAACTCAAAAAAAAGAAAAACTGCTATGTACATGTAAATTATGCAATTGTTGGAGAGAATAAGCAGTAATACTCTGATTAACCTATTCAATTAACAGACAAATGTGCTATGCTAATTACATAGTTGTTTAATAACCTCAGAAAAAGAAATAAAAAATTCCAAAATGGCATTTCCCAAAACATTAAGTTCATTAGCTAGTTTTATTTTTGGTATTGAACTGTTAAGCCTAAATAGTTAGCAGGAGACAGAAATCACCAGCAGAGACCTTAAACGAATCTAACATATAAAATTACAACTGTATTTCTTAGTCAGTCTCACTCTGTTGCCCAGGATAGAGTGCAGTGGCATGATCACAGCTCACCGCAGCCTCAACCTCCTGGGCTCAGGCAATCCTTCTGCCTCAGGCTCCCAAGTAGCCGGGACTACAGGCACATACCTCCACGTCCAGCTAATTTTGTAATTATCTGTAGAGACATCTCACTGTGTTGCCTAGGCTTGTCTCAAACTCCTGGCCTCAAGTAAGCCTCCCGCCTTGGCCTCCTAAAGTGCTAGGATTATAGGCATGACCACAGTGCCTGGCAAAATTACAATTATTATTTCTTTATTGTTCAGCATTAAACACATTATATCACCATGTTGCAAATAATATTTGAAGGTATCCTAATACCAGCCTGAGCCAGTTCCACATTAAAGGCCCGCAGTGCAAAAGCAGAGCTTCGGGATTCTGCAGGGAACAGCAGGGAACATAAATAACCTTCATAATCTCGTTTCCTACAACAAACAGACAAAAGAAAGATTGTTACTCTTCACTTTCCAAACTGCACACAAAAATATTAACCAAAATTAACTGAAAGTAAGACTTCAGTTCAGAATAGGCCTGACATTTCTTATCTTTATACCTATTTCTCTAAAATTATAAAACTATCTGCCCTCAATCCCAGATGATTTAAAAAAAGAAATAATCAACCTCAGTTTATTTTGATTTATATAGTACTTACTTTGCTTCTAAATCACTTTGGTTTTCGTAAGAATTCAAATGAGATACAAAATCAGAAACTAAATTAAGAAAAGAGTTCAAGGCCAGGCAGTGGCTTACGCCTATAATCCCAGCACTTTGGGAGGCCCATGGGTTCAAGACCAGCCTGGGCAACTCTACTATAAATAAAAAAGTTTGCCAGGTGTGGTGGTGTGTGCCTTTCCAAGTAGTAGTTCCAACTACTTGGATCACCCGAGCCCAGGAGGTGGAGACTGTGGTGGCCATGATTGTGCCACTGAACTCTAGCCTGAGCAATAGAGTGAGACTTCGACCCCCCCCCCAAAAGAAAACAGTTCAAGCAAACACTGGTATTAATTTTTTAAGCATAGATAAGGGCCAAGTGTGGTGGCTCACACCTGTCACGCCAGCACTTTAGGAGGGCAACGTGGGAGGATCACTTGAAGCCAGCAGTTTGAGACCAGTCTAAGAAACCTAGTGAGACTCCGCCATCTTTATAAAATAATAATTTAAAAAATTAGTCAGGCAAGGTGGTGCACACCTGTAGTTTTAACTACTTGAGATTCTGAGGCTGGGAGGATCATTTGAGCCCAGGAATTGAAGATTGTAGTGAGCTATGATTACACCACTGCACTCCAGCCTAGGCAACAGATAAAGAGCTAAAAAAAGGTAATATAGGGGGCCTAAAACATCTTGAGTAAAAAGTAAAGAAATGTTCAAAGAGTGGAAGAGACTTGTCAAAAGAACACAGAAACTGGCCTGACAGAGTTCTCACTGGCCAAATTTGTAGCAATTTTAGCATCACCAAAATTAAGATCCAGTTACCTGAGACCTGTCCCATATTATGGACATATATATAACACTGATAGCTTTATATAGCAACAGGGCCAATAACTTCTCATTCATTCTAACATGTATTCAGTGCCTACTATGTGCCAGCACTGTGCTAAACACGGAAGATAGGTTCTGAATTCAATCTTGTAGGGATGGACAAACATACGGGGTGTTGGGACTGCTATGCTAGTACCATCCTGTGCCATTGAGGCACGAAGGAAGAAGTGGTTCCCTGGCAAGGTTGCAGAATAAAAAAGAATATTAGTGTAGTCCAGCACCACCACTATAACCTCTTACCTTCTTACCACAGCCTGAGGCTCCTTCTTTACTCTCCTCAAAACCAAACCCCAAGAAACCTATCTGAGATCTTCCTAGATTCCTCAGACACTAGGATGGCTAGCCTGGTATTTTTTCTGATATTTGAAGGCCTTGCATAAGATGCACATCTAGGCCGGGCCCGGTGGCTCAGCCTGTAATCCCAGCACTTTGGGAGGCCAAGGCGAATGGATTGCCTGAGCCCGTGGGTTAAAAACCAGTCCAAGCAACTTGGCGAGACCTCATCTCTACAATAAAATAAAAAATAGCTGGGCTTGGTAGTGCGTGTCTGTAGTTCCAGCTTCTTGGAAGGCTGAGGCAGAAGGATCGCTGGAGCCCAGTAGGTCGAAACTGGGGCGGCCATGAGCGTTGGTGCCACTGCACTCCAGCAAAGAAGTGCGACTTCAACTCACCAAAAAAAAAAAAAAAAAAAAGATGCACGTCTAAAACAACCCTGCACAATTAAGCCAAATCTTGCAGACTGTTGATGGACAATTAGAATTCAAAAGTTTTTTTCTTTTTTTCAAGTTTCATTTTGTTTTTATTTATAAAAGTACTTATTAAGTATTTGTTATGTGTCAAGCCTCTACTAAGCATTTTTATATACATCATCACATTTAATCCTCATAACCAGGTTATAAGGTAGGAATAGACATTTATAAATAAGAAAAAATGTAATTTCCTTTTTTTAGAGACAAGGTATCTCTCTGCTACCCAGGCTGGAGTGCAGTAGTGCAATCATGGCTCACTGCCGCCTCAAACCCCTGGGCTCAGGAAATCCTTTTGCCTCAGCCTCATGCCCAACTGATTTTTTTTATTTTTGTAGAGATGGGGGAGTCTCACCATGTCGCTCAGGCTGCTCTCAAACTCCTGGACTCAAGTAATCTTCCCACTTCGGCCTCACAAAGTGCTGAGATTACAGGAATAATCCACCACACCCAGCCCAAAACTGAATTTTATACTGTAGTAACTTTCCCAAGTGATAGAACTGAAATAATAAACTCAGATTAGGTCTGCCACCAAAAGTCAGGCTTTTAAATAAATTACTAGAGACAAGTAACTCCATTACAAACAAGTAACAACAGGGACAGATTAAGTACCTGGACATATGTAAATACAGCATATAAATCCACGAAAAGCTAGTACATGAATGAAGTAAAAATAAAGTTACAGGCCAGGCATGGTGGCTCACGCCTACAATCCCAGCACTTTGGGAGGCTAAGACAAGAGCATTGCCTGAGCTCAGGGGTTAGAAACCAGCTTGGGCAGCTTGGTGAGACCTCGTCTCTACAATAAATCAAAAAACTAGCCAGGCATGGTGGTGCACATTTGTTATCCCAGCTACTAGGAAGACTGAGGTGGAAGGATCGCCTGAGTAAGGTGGGTCAAGGCCGTAGGAGCCATGATTGAGTCACTGCACTCCAGCCTGGGTGATAGAGGGAGATTCCAACTCAAAAATAAAAATAAAAAAAAGTTATGTATGCAAATATTTATCAATATAGATTGCCACATAAAGATAAATTCTGCCACTAGTGAGTGGTCATGGGTGATATACTCTGGTAACCTGAACTTATAAAAAAAAAGAATAGCCGGGCTCGGTGGCTCAGCCTGTAATCCCGTGCCTTTGGGAGGCTGAGGTGAGTGGATTGCCTGAGCCCGCGGGTTCGAGACCCGCCTGGGCAGTGAGACTTCATCTCTACAATAAATCAAAAAATCAGCCGGGCGTGGTAGCGTGCGCCTGTAGTTCCAGCTACTTGGAAGGCTGAGGCCGGAGCCCAGCAGGCGAGGCTGAGGTGGCCGGGAGCGGCCACTGCACTCCAGTCTGGGCGACAGAGTGAGATTCCAACTCAAAAAAAGAATAACTGGCTGGGCTAGGTGGCTCAGACTGTAACCCCAGCACTTTGGGAAGCCAATTCGAATGGATTGCCTGAGCCTGCAGATTCAAGACCAGCCCAGAAAACTTAGCGAAAACTCGCCTCTACAATAAATAAAAAATTAGCCGGGTGTGGTAGTGCACACCTGTAGTTCCCGCTACTTGGAAGCTGAGGCAGAAGGATTGCCAGAGCCCAGCAGGTCAACACTGGGGTGGCCCTGAGTGTGCCACTGCACTCCAGCCTGTGCGACAGAGTGAGACCCTAACTCGAAAAAAAAAAAAAAAAAAAAAAGAAGAACAACAATAACTTTAAAATACATGGGGGAGCCGGGCTTGGTGGCTCAGTCTGTAATCCCCCGCCTTTGGGAGGCTGAAGTGAGTGGATTGCCTGAGCCCGCGGGTTCGAGACCTGCCTGGGCAACTTGGTGAGACCTCATCTCTACAATAAATCAAAAATTAGCCGGGCGTGATAGCGTGTGCCTGTACTTCCAGCTACTTGGAGGGCTGAGGTGGAAGGATCGCCGGAGCCCAGCAGCTCGAGGCTGCGGTGGCCAGGAGCGGCCACTGCAGTCCAGTCTGGGCGACTGAGTGAGACTCCAACTCAAAAAAAAAACAAAAACGTATTTATTCTTACATGTTTAAACTTCAGTCATCTTCAAAGTACTCTCTATCTGATGCAATATATTTATTGAGATGCTTTTTCCACTGCCCCAAACAATGGAAACATTCTTTTCATGTTTCTGCCCTTTTATTTCACCTCTTCCACATCAGCAAAATGTTTCCTTTGAGGACTTTTTTCATCCGGAGAAAAAAAAAAGTTGAGGTGAGATGCCATTTTTGGTAAAAAACTGCTGAACACTCAGCATGGTGTGGGCAGGTGCAATCGTAAATCACTCATCATGAAATGGACAAACATGCTGAAAGAATCTCCAAAAAAATTTCACTAAAGCTGAATGCAGGCTCTTACAACAGCACCAGCTGGTACACTGATGCAGATGGATTCCTAGAACACTTGCCTAGCCGGGAAAGCCTGCAGTATAAAGGGTCAGTCCTCCCAAAAATAATTCCGGGTTTTTTTTGGTTCCTCTTTATATATACAAATAATACGAACTTGTTCAGAAACTCCTGTTCCTCTTTATATATAAAAATAATACGAACTTGTTCAGAAACTCCTGTTCCCAGAGCCTTGGCCTGTAACAGTATATCTATCAGTCATAATTTGTCATGAGAATTAAATAAATTACTTGTAAACTTCTTTGCACAGTTCTGGCACATAAAAACAACTCAAAGTTAGGTAGTGTTGTCACTGAAATTAATTACTAGACGCTTTGTGCTATGCAGGCAGAAAACGTTGAATGAGATTAAAATCAAGGTTCATCAGACAAGGTGACGGGGGTGAGCAGACGAAGGACAGGGCCACAATTTTGTGGCCCGCGTTGACGGTTCCTGTTGCCTCACTCCCTGCACACACCCCCACCCGGAATGCACCAGAACGCACACGCAGAGGGACACCAGTCCCCACCGCGCCCCCGCCACCCACTCCCAGACTTCCCGCCGAGGCGGGCCGGGCTGGCTCACCGCAGCAGCTCCAGGCAGTAGTGGCCAGTGCTCGAGGCGTCCGGTCCGCTGGCAGCGGCCACGCTCCTCCCGGACACCTCGGGCCCAGGCAGCCGCCGCACGCGCGCGCACAGCCCCCGGGGCGGCCGACTGCGGCACAGGCCAGAGATGCCGAGCCGCAGCGGGCCCCAGGCAGCGCCCAGCGCGGAGGCCGCCATGACACCTGCGCCACGTGCCCTCTGACCCCACGTGGTCCGCGCACGGCCACGCCCCCGCCACGCCCACACTTGTTCCCCCGCCCGCCGTTCAGTCGCGGGGAGAGTCTCCGGCTGCCGCTCGCAGGGAGGCCAGGTGTCGCTGTGGTCCTCTGCATCTGGGCCGCCACCGCGGCTCTTCGGCTTTCGTTCCAGGAAAGCCCTGCCTAATTCCAGCCGATCCGCCACGGGATCTCCCCCACCCCTCGTCCTTCCACTGACAACTCCAGACGTGTAGGTGACCCTACACGATGTGACGGGTGCCCGGTTCTGAAGGAAGCAGCCGCCAAAGTTACGTCCCGCCACCCTTATGCCCCAAATTCCCCAGGGGACCAGAACACCTCGCACCGTTTCTGAACAAGGGCGCCCTTGGCACTCTGGGCACAACAGCACTGTCCCAGGAGGGACCGTGCTGGAATTCCGCACGTTGCTGGAATTTTGCTAGACGTGGGTGTCCAGGCTTGGTGATCACCAAACGCCCACACATTCCCAAAAGCGTCTGGCAGTGTCGCCCTGGTTGGGAACCACTAGCCACCTTGCACCACCAGGAGAAAAACACCAAGATCCCTACGAGAAGCAACACTGTAGGCCATTATCAACTCCTATCTGTAGCTCACATGCTTGACAGTTTACTTAGAGTGCTAAGTTCCCTAAGGGCAGGGTCATTATTTTGTTTACTGCTTTATTCCTAACGCTAGTAACTCGAAAATTGTAGAAGCTGAAGTGCCTCGGTTCAGGTAAATGGTAAGTGGTCAGGTGAGATTCAAACATTCAAAATATCTATTACTCCAAAGTCTTATTTGGGAAGGAAAGAGAAGTGGGGCAGGCCATAGGCCAAAGCCTGCTCTTCTGAGCCTCCAGAGGCCAGCATGGAACTCCCAGGAGTCAGAATTCTCAATTTAAATCTAACTCTTCAGATCCTTATGAAGATGTATTTAATCAAGGCAGAAGGATAGCGCTTTTGACAGTTTACTAACTTGTTTTAAAACTTCTAAACATGGTATGTCAAAACTTCACGTGGTATGTCAACCTTCTTTGGTACTCTTACCCTCAGGCCCTCAAATATTAGAGTTGGGTCTAGTTGCCACCACTGACCTGGTCCAAGCCAGCTGCTGCCTATACCTAGATCACAGTGACATCTCCTGCCTCCAGATTTGTCCATACTGTTCTTGCTGCAGTCAGACTGGTTCTTTCTAAAATGTCCTTCTACGAGGAGACACCCCTTATCAACAAGGGTGCCTGAATGAAGCATATTTGTATACCTAACCCTTAACTGTACCCCACAATATTAAAATTTAAAATATTGATTTAAAAAAATAAAAAATTAAATAAATAAATAAATAAAATGTCCTTCTGATCATGGCCTTTCCCTACTTGACAACGTTTACTGTATGTTGTATACAGTTCCTCTATGGTGTGACCAAGATTTACCTTTCTGCCTCAACTCCTGTCATTTGCCATTGTGACTCCAGCTTAATGTTTCTGCTTAAAGCCAAGGGAGGGCACCTTGTCTGGACCTAAGCCTTCTAAACAATTCGTCCAACTTTGGTTTTACTCCGTGAGACGGCCTCTCTTCAGCCTATATGATAGCAGAACCCCAGTCCCTCCTGTGTGATGTTCTTTCTTCCCTCTGGGCTTCTGTCCTTTAGCTCTGACAGCCACATGTTAGAGTTCAATACCACAGTTTAAACCTTTTCCATTAAAAAAAAAAGTCACCTGCCCACATTCCTATTTTTTATCTCTTGCCTCTTTGAACCTTTCCCTGTGGACATCTTGCCATTACTTCAGAGTCCATATGTCCAAAAACCAAATCAAACCTTATCAAATCTAATCTGACTTAGGTTTGAAAAGACAACTTTGGTTTCTAGTTGGAAAATAGCTTGAAAGTAGGGAAATTGATTAGGAGTTTCTTGCTGGAGACCAGTCCAGAGCCACTGGTTTAAGAGTGGACAAGTTTAATAGTGGGAATGGAGAAAATTGGGTGGTTTTTAGATGTATGGTGAAGATAACACCAACAGAATTTGTTGATGATGCACAGAAGGGGTCAGGGAAGGATTCCACCTGCTTCCTCCATAGTGGAGGAACATTTATGTTCATGTGTCCACCGTCTTCCTCTAGAGGAGCCTGGCATCATCCCCAGCCCAAAGAGGTACATCTGATTAATGATGTAAGCATGGTGTTACACTTCCATCACTAGTGATTGGTTCAGGACAGTGCATATTTCCCTGATCTAGCCAATGAGACTTGAGAAAAAATTTCACCATAATGCTTCTGATAAAGTTACATCACTAACTGAAGGAGACACTAAATATAAATATAAAGTACTAGCTATAAAAGATCCATACCGCCCATCTTGAGCAACCAAGCATGCGTACCTTTCTCCTCTCTCTCTCTCTCTCTCTCTCTCTCCTTACTTTGTGGGAAGCCAGCTACTACATCATGTGATATCAAGATATCAAATCCTGCAGCCTCAGTCTCCCAAAGTCCTGGGAGTACAGGTGTGAGCCACCATGCCCAGCTGTTTATAACATGTTTCATTGTGTGTAATTATCTTTATTTTGAAAGATGTGCCTAGTCACTAAATAAATTCAATAATATAGAAACATGTATAACAAAAAGTAAATGTTCTCTCTTCCCCAACCCCCTCAATCCTACTGCTAAGACATATGTGTGGTGATGTTTTGTGACTTTCAATGTATTTTGCTTTTTTATGAGACCTATAGAACTATTCCTTTGTTAATGTCTACTATTAGCTTATGTTTAGAAAGACCTTCCCCATAAAGATATCAGGTATGAAGGGGAGCAATTGTGGGCTATTGAGGTTGTCTAGGCTAGAGGTTCTGTGGCTTGGACTGGGACAGTGGCAGTGGAGATGAAAAGAGAAGGATCAATCAATATATAATTTGGAGGCTGGCATGCTAATTAATTGATTGATGGAGGGAAGTAGTGAAGAAATGAGAGAAAAAAATGATAGTTTCTAGATTTTTTACATAAACAATTGGGGGATGGGAGTAGCTTTTCCAGTGTTGAGGAATGTGATGTTTGAGGATGAATGAGCATCTTTTGGTGCATGATACTTTCCTGATGATATTCATTGACTTGTGACCCCCTTAGAAGGATCATTAAATAAAAACTGATGTATCCCTCTACTCTCTGCTGTTGCCCTTGGTCTTTATTCTTTGACCTGCTGTCTTCTCCTGTGCTCACCTACTTTGGAGGAATGTTCTTTTTGTGTTGACAAAATGTTCTTGAGTTCATCTCATGTTCTTTGATGACTCCTTCCTGGGTACTAATGTGAGCTAAGTTTTTCATTACCCAGTCGGTGGAGTGCTTCAGAAGGAGTGTCTTGGGCACTGGAGGATCATAAACACAGGGGAGGCACTCCTCAGCGTTTTTTGCTTCATCACATTGTTGCAATAGGGCACTTGGGCAGTTCCCGTGGGCTGGTGCTGCCTCTCAATGCCAGCTTTTATTTCGACACCAGGGTCATCAAAGGAGAACCAGGCTAATGAGTGTGTGGCCTAGAATAGTCAGTTTAGGACTAATCAGTAAAACTACAGTCAGTCAGTTTTTTGTTGTTGATAATGTTGTTACTGTGCAGAACAGTGCCGAGTGAAGCTTCTAGTCTGCCTTGAGCTTCACAGACAGGTTTAGAGGACACCATTATTTCAAAACATCAAAGCAACGTCAGGGTGAGTACTATGGGGGAAGAAATAAAGGTCAACACCTCCCACTCCCCAGTGCAATCATTTTGATGCCTGCATATGACCACTCTGTCTTAATGAACCAGGAAACCTGTCTCTGACTTCTTGCCAAAAGATCACTGAGGTTTCTTTTGTGAGCGTGACAGTGGCTTCCAAAGGGCTGTTCTATGCATGCACTCCTTCCTGATCCTTCTGGCAACCAGCAGCATGTACCAAAAAGGAAATGCTCACGAGAGTTAGAAATGAAGTATGTGGTCTTGGGACCGTGTTTCTGGGCAAAACTAACTGATCCTACTGAGGAAATAAGCTACCTAGATTTTTCAAAAATTACATTCTAGCCGCTCTACAATTCTATTGCATAAACAAGCATCACATTGGCAGCTAAATTAAAAGTTTGTCCCTAAAGATATTTCCATTTGACAAGCAAAATTCTGTGGGATTATGCCATTCCTTCTTCCTGGAATGTCCTTGTATAATGTATCTTTAAGGAGGCCACTTGGAGACAATCCCAAATCCCCAGCCTTTGACCAGCCACCTATGGCCTCTGCAAACTCCCAAAAGAGCCATGTAGAGAGACAGTCCTGGCAAACACACACTGTTTATTACACTGTTTTTACAGGCTCCACTGTTGAGCTTGTCTGGATCACTTCAAAGAAAAAGGACACACAGAAAGACAAACCAAACAAAAGTGATGTGACCCAAGACCCAAATCAAAGTGACTAAGCTGAACTTGAGGCTTTTCTGAGATTTGGGGAGTACAGAGAGAGAGCCTTGAGTCCTTGTCACCAAAAGTTCTAATACGTTTTGTACTTCACGAACTTCTACACATCTTATGAACCCCTATTTAAATGCCTCTTCCTGTCTGAATTTTTCTTGACCATAGCCCCTTCCAAGAAAAATGAGTTGTTCCTTCATTTTTTATCCTGTTGCAGTATGTGTGCTTCTCTTTGATCACTTTACCAGCTCTTACTGTGGTAATCTGTTTACATGGCCCTTTTCCCAGACTGCCAAAGGTAGATGCTGTCTTATTTCTCTTTTTATCTCCAGTGCCTGGCCAAATGCCTGGCATTGGGAGATGTTCAGTGGATTGTTCTGAAAGCCAAGGTTTTTGGCACTGGAAACAAGGTTCCTGGTTGTGCGGTATGTGCACTGCACAGATGTGCTTGCCCAAGGAGGCAAGAGGGACTGGGGTGAGCTACTGTGAGATTGTCTCTTCCCACAAAGGCACATGCTTGCAGGACTGCATCATCCCAGAGGGATACCTCCTAATTTATACCAATACGCCA